GAGTACAAAAGTACAAACGACGCTGCGGCTGCTTAACCGTTAAAAACATGGGACCAAACCGGAATAGCGAGGGGTACAAATCGGAATAGGCGGGGGTCTATCCGGAATAGCGGGGGTTAATCCGGAATAGCAGAGTGTCGAACCGGAATAGCGGGGGCCAAAGCGGAATAGCGGGGGCCAAAGCGGAATAGCGGGGGCCAAACCGGAATAGCAGGGGTCAAACCGGAATAGCGGGGGCCAAACCGGAACAGCAGATGGTCAATCCGGAATAGCAGCGGGCCAAACGGGTCAGATCGGAATCGAATAAAGGCCAAAATCCGGAAAAGCGCAATGCAATCCGGAATAGCGCAGGCCAATCCGGAGTGATGTTAGCCAAATTTGGTTTACCAAACCAGACTAAATCTGCAACGGAAGACTTGGTCCAAGCTGGAATGACGTGACCGAAATGGAGAAATGACAAACTTTCAGCTTTGACAATAACGGGCAAATCTCGCGCCAAAACTGGCAAACCTCGCGCCAAGCAGGGCAGAGTGGTTCTGGACTAACAGCGCGCTACCTCCTGCGATAGAGCGTCCGCGGAGTACATGGGGAATAATGTACTGTACGTGTAAAACACACGGTAAGTGGTTAATGTGAACCAAGCAGGACAGAGTGGTTCTGAACTTACGGCTGGCAATAAGACACTACCTCCTGTGATAGAACGGTGTAGTACATGGGGGGATGTACTGTACGTGTAAAACACGCGGTAAGTGGTTAATGTGACTCTAATGTGCGAGCTCTCCGCCTGCTCACAACCCGTGATGTGAACATGAGTCATGTCTAATGAACTGTTGCAGACTGAAATGGACTAGAAATACCGTAATTCACTTTATATGTTCACGGCAGCAAAAGTTCACGGTCTGAGAAAAATGGACATGTTCACGGAACTATGTGTTCACCGTGGTGACAGGTGCAGGAAAGAGAAAGTCCAGGAATTATTTGTTAACTGCAATGATAAGTTCACGGTACAGAAGTGACAGTGAAAACGTGAACATAAAAGTACAGTGAAAAAAGTCAGGAACTCTGTTAGGTTACAATTGCTCCGTTCCCATGGTTACTGTTCTGTAACGATACGTCATGTGTCTGACAGCCGTTCTGTAGGCGGCCACGTGTGACGTCAGTGTAAGAAGGGCTGCTGATTCGTCACGCGGTTAGTGGCAAGGTTTCTGCACGATGTTGCAAATCTATAGTTTACGGGCTGCCGAAGCGAACATGTAAAGGTTATGAATAAACCGGCACCGTCCGCTTTACAGTCAGTATAACAGAGTCAGCGTCTCTGCGTAGTTAGAGGAGGGGGTATAGGGGGGAGAATTTTCTTCCAAGGTTCTATCTATTGATTTATTGATTGATTGGCTGTGATAGATTATTTCCTGATACTGCATTGAAATTGACCCTAAAGTGTAATCTCCACGCAGATCCCTCTCGGTGGCAAAAAAACAGTATCAAAACAAATTGGCCAGGCAGTATCCATTGGTCAGAGAAGGTCCGCGGCCACCGTTGGTGGGGTTCAGGACGATCTTTCCCCCACAACCTCTGCTGGGAGAGTACCTAAAGTAAAGTTCCTTACTAACATGAGAATGCCCGTGGTTTGTTTCCTGCCAGCCTGTGTCGGGAGGGGTAAACTTCAGCCGGCAAACCCAGATTCGCAAAATGTACTCGCCTGGCCTCTGGCATACCAAAGAGGTTATCGAGCATTCAATTCAGTCTGTTTGTGCAAATCCTAGTATTTTTCCAGCGGCATTGATAGCCTGATATAGGCAATTAAAAGCCTGGACAGCCTCCAAGCACGACCGGAGGCTATCCGCAATGCTTTTAAATCTACTTGGTCTAATCCTACTATTTTCCCAGCAAAAATGGGAGCCTGATATAAGCAAGGACATTCTATAACCGGTGAATGGAAGCTCCTTGATAAAAGCAACCAAAGGCCTGGACACCCTCCGCTCACGCCTGTTTATAAACACGCTGCATGTTTTCCCGCTCCTGTTTATAATAGCCTCCACCAGGCCTTTCTACGAGAAATTATACGGATCGCAGCATTCGACAAAAAGGAGAGTAAAACTGGCCAGGGGAGTCCGGCCGCGTAAGGATGGCCCTTTCCCTCCCAAATCAATCCCTAAGGCGGCCAAACTTCTCCAGCAAATATTCCCTTATATAAAGCCAGCGTAGTTAGTCTGGTAGAGGCTATGTTTATATGATAACGCCCTGCCGCATGTTTGTCTCCGGGATGGAGTTTATCAATCCAACAGCGGATCTCTGCCTTATCTTCTGCCAGCCGGGCTGAAACTCGCCATGTTTCACTCCTAAACTGTCAGACCGGGAATTGTATTAAGTTATTAATTCTATTTTATCTTATTTACGCAGATTTGTGAGCATTGGACAGAAAGCACGAAATGTGCTTACAAGGATCCTAAAAATGCTCATGAAATATAAAAACATCAATACAAAACGTCTAGTGGACATAAAATACTTAAGAGGTCTTTATATTGTACTTTTGTTACCCTTAGTACATTATACTAAACGTTGCCTTGAACCAGAACTAGTAACGATAGACGGTAAATAACAGCCATGAAAGGTGAAGCAATTTTTAACTTCCATGAATAAAGGAAAATGCCGCCTGCCCCAAACGCTGCGCCAGGATGAGTGGGTTCTAATTTTAGACTTCTGGCTCAAGATATATCGGGTATGAGTGATGACGTCACGGCGCCCAGTAAAGGCCCTCCTGTATAATATCAATACTCTATTTCACAAGCAAGAACGAACGCTCAATACATTATTAAGCTGCAACCTACATGTATGATAACCCTCCCCGTCATAGACCGACTTACGGGTACATATCAGCTGAGGTTTTGTAAAACCCTAATGCCGCTAATTATATAACACTGGAAGAAAAATAACAACCCCAGACGAATTTATACAAAGGTATAAAGGTATGCAAATATATGATAATATGCACAGATTTATGATAATATACACAATGTTTCAACTGCAATACTGAACAAAAGTTTCAACTGCAATAATGAACGATTTGCTAAATTATGTAGTTAATGGGTCAATGAACGAATTTTAATGTATCTCTTAGCTATGTATGAATTACCTGTTAGTTACTAATTTGCATACATAAAGATATTTCATTGCGTTTCATTGATTAGCTCAATAGCTATAATCTTGCATAAATTTGCGTATATCATCATGCATTTACATACAGGAATAGCCTGGCATGATTTGGTTTGGACTCCCATCTCTACACAGCGCAAATGGTGCTGCTTGGCAAAGCTACTGGCATTCTCATAGTTGCTATGGTAACGGTTAAATGGACATTAGGCCGAGATCAGGACCAGGCTGGGAGATTATGATCAGTTGGATCACGCTGGTTTAACTGGATATCGGATCAGGGCTCAAAAACAAGATCAGAGTCTTTGCATCACATTATGGTTTCATATCTACAGAACTGTAGGAAGTTTCTTTCATATGTTAAACTATAATATTCATACTAAATAGCAAAGTTCTTTTATCACAACCATTTATTTTTCACTAACCGACCTTTCGATGGCCGTTTGTCATCTTCATCAGGGCAATTCTGACTGGGTTACTGTGCACTGACACTAGAAAACGTCGGCTAGTGAAACATATATGGTTGTGATAAAAAGAACTTTGCTATTCAGTCGTTTACCAACCTGATGAAATTATTTACGGATCTAATATTCATATTAAGTAGCACAATGCTTGAAGTGGATCAGACTTTGCAAATTCCCTTGAGTGCTGCCAGGCAAAATGCACACGAATTGGAATAACAAGTCACCTTGCAATTTCCGGACGTTCCCTTCTCTTGACAGAAAAAGGCCTTCTATTAACCGTCTGAGCTCCGAACTCCGCCGTAATGGCGCCTAGCGAATGGAGGGAAGTAAAATGGGTGCATGTGATGTCCCATTGATCAGGCAGAAAGATGAGAGAAAAGATACCGGTACTAACTTAAGCCGATGTCTAAACCTCTGCTTGGAGAGTAATGAAACAGACCCTATTGCCGTAATTCAGCTATCAGAACAGGTATGACATACGATGCGCAGCAGGCGTGAACGCTAGGAAAACGCTATACTGTAGTTTTTTAATTGCAATAAAACTTGAACTCATGGGTTATTCCATAACAAATTTCACACAGTTGTAGAAATTTTCCCTCTCTTGTCGATCAGCTATTATTTGATACTCTTAAAACAAGCACACTCGCAAAGTATGACTAGGAAAACGCTAACGCTATCCCGCCCTAAGTTAGCTTTTACTGTGGCCTCCCTAGCACAACAGGATGGAACAGACCGTAATGCCATAATTCTGCTATCAGGCACGGGCGGAAGAGATACTCTCCAAGCAGACGTTGGTGGGAAGATTTTTGCTTTTATACATGTGCCCCGTTTTTATATGAGGGAAGACATTTCATCATATAACGGGGCATATGTAGAAACGTAATGATGTTCCCCACCAACCTCTGCTTGGAGAGTAATGGACCAGACCGTAATGCCATAATTCTGCTATCAGCCACGGATGGAACAGACGAAACTGCGGCTGTCTGACTGAGAACATAATCCTGCCGACTTTCCTGCCGGCGGAGCGAATCACAGCTGTGCATGCTGGGTATGACGTCATTCCTTAGGCCAGGACAATCCTCCCTCAGGCGGGGTCGGTAACCATGGAAACGCCGACTGACGTCATCAGCCGGGCGCTCTGCTTCTCGGTTTTCCCGTCCTGAGATGGGATCTTAACAATTACCGAAGCCAAATGGACAATTTCTTAAAGCTGGGCATGAAAAAACACACCTGTACATCCCTAGGCCCTTGCCTCTTTAGTACCTTCGAAACAGACCTTAACGACAGAAACACCAAATAGCCCCATAAACACGTATATGAACATCTCCTTTATTGTATTTGATAATCTGTTGCTGTTGCTGTTTTTATTTATGACCCTTCTAATTTTGAGTACACGACTTGTCTGTTTTGTAAAGTTTGAAGGTTGTTATGTGTTTCAGCTGTTTCAGACATGAATGATTTTGATTACACAATCTGGAATCTGCAAATTACTTGTTGTAAGTAGTTGCTGGGCTGCGCATGCGCTGTGGTAAGGGCTGTGGGGATAGGAAGTGCCAAACCGTCCGGCTGACGTCACGGCTGAGAATAAACTGAGGGTCACACCTGCTTGTGCATTTCCAGTCTACCCGTGCAGTCGCGCACCTAGCGGGCGCCTGGCGCATAACAGGGCATGTACACATCGCATCATCACAAAGCCCGGAGTAAAAAGTTGGCCTCTCACCTGCATTGGAACGCGGAATGCTGGGTAGAACGGGTCGCTTGGGAATGACGTCACTGCTCTTTCACCTGGAAGGCTGGAGGTTTCTTCACTCCGCTGGACTGAAGGGCAAAAATGGACGGACTTTAATTTTGGATTCACCATGCATTAGCTAATCTCTAACTCCAAGCAGATGCTACGGTGGCAAGGAATTATCCAGATGCTTTAGATGCCACGGAGCAAATGGACACTCCTCTGGCCAATGGATACTGCCTTGCCACCGTAGGATCTGCTTGGAGATTACAATTAGCCTCAGTTTACACTATTTGCAAATCTTCCTGTGGCCAAGAAAGCCGTATTCTGAGAAGGCCGTTTTCTAGCCTTTAAATTTGTTCATTCGTGAAATACTCAAAATCGGCGTGCTGACAGCTTTTCACCGTGGCAATACCTCATGTGGGAAGATGTAAGGGTCCGACAAAACATAAAAATCATAAAAACATACGCATTAACGTCGCATGTTTCGGGTCCTATCAAAGCCATGAACATAGATTCCTGCAGTCCAGAGTCTATATAAATATATGACGTACAGATTGTAATCGTTACCTCATTCGGGCCTTGACAGTAAGATCTACCGTTATAGCAACAAAATAAACTCACGTTTCTTTTGTTGTGTACTGATTGGCAGCTGTGGTGCTGATTATAATGATTATTCTGGTCCCAGATCCCAGGGAACTGGACCTTGTAGGAACTTCTACCAACGTCACGCAAATCTACTACATGGCTGAGGTAAACCTTTGTCACCATACCGTTACATCGCGAGAAAAGCAGATAAAAAAGATTTACCACAATCGGTGAGGCAAGGAGGGCGATTCTGCCTCCCGTTCTACCTTTTCCAGAGGAGAGATTTGGTCAGGAAAACAACATCGAGCCGCCAAGTGTCGTCTGACATTCTCCCGCCAAAACACAAACGCAATCTCGTGCCCAGGACAGGTTGTTTCTCCCGGCATGCCATGCACAGAAGATACGTTCTCCTTCCCACGCAATCGCTATAAAACTAACCATTGTTTGTTCAACACAGTCTCCTTAATGCGGACAGTGATGGCTGAAAACTTTCAGTCAAACATATTGTCAGACGTACCGGGAAGTTTCCCCTGGCTGCAGAAACTCGAATGCTCACAACATGCACGCAAAATGTATGCAATATGCACACACACAACATGCGGTACACAAGCTACAACACACACATACGGCACAGCACAAAAGTTACAACACACATAATATGCACACAGTGACACAACAAACAAACACGTACACCCACCTTGCTAATAGCCAGTCCACAACAGGCTGCTCCGGACTTCAGAGCGGGTCTGGAACTCTCCTCCATGTTGCTGTCAGAACACCACAGTTTCCACACAAACATTCCCACAGAACAGGAGCCGCCAAACCAACATTGATATGCAAATTCCTCCTTGCGCTTTGACCATCATCCATATAATCAAATCAACATGGCTTTATCCCTTATTTCAAATAACTGACATATTTCCTGAATCATAGAATGTAATACTCTCCTCAAGAAAGCGTACAATAGATTATCTTTGGTAAAATTGCAATTGTATTTTAGTTTCGTTCATGTATCTACCTGTTTGCCATACCTTGAGCCAGTCAGTTGTTGAGCAATAAAGTTGATGTGATTTATTTCATTTTCTTCCATTGTTTATCCACCCCAGAGAAAACCGTTGTGGTGACTTATCTGAATTGTTTGCTAATCGTTCTACCTTCGTGGGTTTTTGAGACTCGCAAAACGAGTAGAAACGCTAAACATGTGTAGCATTGGTTTACACATTTGCAGCTATGGCAAGTATTGCAGCATCATTCAGCTGACCTACAGAGATACATTCACACAAAGATCAACCCTCACAAGTGCAAGTTCACTATCTTTTAATTTTATTCTGTATTTACACTTCTGAACAAAGCATTACAAAATAATATAAAAATGATGTAAAATTACGATTTGAGAAACGGACTAGAAGTGGTCATGTGACCACGTCTGCGATTTGTCGGCAGAAATTTGGAACAGAAAACGCCATCTTTGGTTACTATGGTAACAGGATGATTGACAACTGGTCCCAAGGTGTGGGGAAAACCCCCATCATGCATCCGTGCCCATATTTGGCACTGCTGTAACGTGATACTTACGAGCTGGTATTACGACATAATAAGGCTATAAAAATGGACACAAGCAAATTTCAGCATTCTGAGATACACACTGACAATAGAGCTTCTGGCATGGCATATAAACTCTTAGCCTCTACCAGGCTTGGGGAGGCGGCTGGAAAGAGTAGAAATCGGCCAAATAGAGAGATAAGCATGGCAAGGGAGTTTGTCCGTTGAGAGAACAGTTTGCAGTTGGGGTGCGGCGAAATGTTCTCTGAATGGACAAACTCCCTTGCCATGCTTATCTCTCTATTTGGCAGATTTCTACTCTTTCCAGCCGCCTCCCCAAGCCTGGTAGAGGCTAATAAACTCTCTCTATAGCACCACTAGGGCAGAATTCGGTACATCCACGGATTTGTTAAATAAAACTTTTCCTACATGTAACGTGCTCACTTCCATATAAGGCCTGTCCTATGTTTCCATATAAGGCAACTGGCCTGTCCTATGTTTCCATATAAGGCAGCTGACATTTCCATATAAGGCAGCTGACCTGTTCTATGTTTCCATATAAGGCAGCTGACCTGTTCTATGTTTCCATTTAAGGCAGCTGACCTGTTCTATGTTTCCATAAAAGGCAGCTGGCCTGTTCTATGTTTCCATATATGGCAGCTGACCCATTGTCATGTCTGTTCTATGTTTCCATATAAGGCAGCTAACCTGTTCCTGTTTGCATATATGGTAGCTGACCTGTTGTCATGTCTGCTCTAATGTTTCTATATAAGGCTGTTTTGCCCATATAAGGCAGCAGTCCTGATGTCATGTGTTTCCATATAAGGCAGCTGTCATGCCCATATAAGGCAGCTGTCATGCCCATATAAGGCAGTTGTGTAATGCCCTTGAGTAAAACATAAAATACACTATGTACAAGTTTGCCATATTGTGACATGGTTTTTCTGTACACTATCTGCATTGCCACTACGTGAGAATGCCCCCCTCCCCACTCCCCCTGTACAGTAATATTACACATCAGACACATTCCCTCATTTCTACAACAAATAAAACTTCTCCACAACAGGAACACAGGGAGGGTGTGATGGGGGTTTCTGGGCACACATGTGGAGGGTGTGTTGGGGGTTTCTGGGTACACATTCACCCATACCAGCCAGAACGAACCTACAGTCTTTAACACAGGTAAATTGTACACAGGTCCTGCTTCTTTCCTTCTTTTGTCCAGTTTCCACGTTATCGATTATTGACAGGTTATTGAGGACATTTGGATTCAATTTATTGATCCTGGAGTGTTGCAGAGCATTGTGGGTATCAATCCCAGAATTCCCGGTGAGAAATTTGGCCACAGTCAGCAGTTTTTTCCTCCAGGACAGATCCGAGTTGGGAGCAACATTCGTCTGTAACGCCTCACAAGAGAAGTTGTCTCTGAACTCTTACAGAAGCCTCAATATGCTCCCTGCAGTACCACAGTGTGCTGATAGGAGGTGCTAACACACCAGTCACCTGCAGTACCCCAGTGCACAGATAGGGGACGCTAGTACCGAGTTCTCCCCCTGCAGTACCACAGTGCACCAACAGGAGGTGCTAACACACCAGTTCCTGCAGTGCCCCAGTGCACCGATAGGGGCGCTAGTACACCAGTTCTCTCTTGATCTCCTGAATGGACACGAAGGAATCGTCGAACTTGAACCTTTTTGGCACGGCCGCGTCGTCCTTGCAGTTCTCCTTGTTGCAGTCTAGGGGGCGCCGCTGCCCCAGGAACGGGGAGCGCAGGGCATCCTGGGGCTGAGAAGGGTCGTGGGGCAGGCTGTCCCGGGACTGAGAGGGTTGGGGCTCAGCGGGGGCCACGGAGAAGTCGATTGCCGGTGACTTGGAGGCAGCACAGAGCCACGGGTGCAGCAGGCACTCTTTGGCTGTCGCTCGGTCCCTAAAACATGACAACAACAGGACGTTAGCAAGACAACAACAGGACAACAGGACATCAGCAGGACAACAACAGGACAACAACAGTATATTTGGTTTGGTTTACAAGACAAAAATATGTTAACAACAAACAAGACAAAGGGAAAATTTTATCCTACAGGCAAACTCTGTCTAAAGAAAACTACAGAGGTCTGTTCTTCCTACATTACAAGAATCTGATGTGATAAAGGACCACGAGAATCTGACGTGATAAGGACCAGTAAGATTTGATTTGAGTTGGAACTCGTAAGGAAAAAGTCTTACTCTGGCTCCTTGATGAGCAGACTCTTGATGAAGTCTTGAGCGTCGGCGGAGACGTCTAAGAAAAGCTCCTCGGGAAAGTCGTAGGCGAGAGTCGAGATGTGCAGAAACGTCTCCTGTTTGCTGTCGCCGAGGAACGGGGAGTGTCCGGTCAACATCACGTACGCTAGGACTCCGATACTCCTGTAAATAACAACAATAATAACATGTCAACAACAACACGTAAACAACATGGCCGGTCAACATCACGTACGCTAGGACTCCGATACTCCTGTAAAGAAGTAAATAACAACATGTAAATAACAACAACAACATGTCTAGACTACTTTTTAAGAGGCATTAAAGGAGGCCATATATATCAGAGCACTTCAGCCTTCACTTAATAGAGATGGTGGACGATATAAACTCCCTGGCACTTTTGATCAATTGCTCACGTCACGTATCATTAAAGTCTCGTGTCAACAAGGTCACGTGTTTGTAAACTGTAACTCTTGCGAGATCACGTTGTGAAGTCATTGATCATTAATTATCCTGATGAAGACGACAGTGGTCGTCGGAAATTTGATCGCTCTGTAACCCTTGTGTTGGAATAAAGTTCAATGTTTTACTATGATTACTACCAACACAGATGAACTTTCATGATAACAACATGTTCGGTTAGCATCACGTACGCAAGGACTCCGATACACCTGTAAATAACAACATATTAACAACTATCAGGGGTTCGAAGCCCAGACTTAGTAGCAGTGGACAGACTTACCACATGTCGGTTGCAGTGGACAGGGGTTCGAAGCTCAGCACCTCGGGCGCCACGTAGTCGGGCGTTCCCACGATCTCCCGGATCTCTTCGTGCACGTTGACTCTCCGCGCCAGGCCGAAGTCCACGAGTTTGATGTCTCCCGCCGGCGCCGGTTTGGTCAGCAGGATGTTCTGCGGCTGGAAAATACACAACAAGTTAGCAGGGCAGCGAGGACACCTGGCAGGTTTGATAGGTACTACAGCACAGGTTAGCAGTGCAGCGATGATCAGGCCTAGGAAAAAATTTTGTTTCCTGTTTTCCGAATGACCCTATAAAAAACTGCAGACCTTTGCCTTTTTTTGGGGTGGACCCCTGCAAGAACAACGGACATAATATTTAGAGCTGAATGATCTTTTCTAGCTCCATGATCTGACAGCCAAGTCATAAAATGCTGTACAATTGGTTTCCCAACATTGACAAGTCCAATAAAAACTCCACATATTTCATGGAGTTGTGAAGTCTCTGAATTCTTGTTTAAGTAGGACCTTGAGATCCAGGTTAGATCTAGCCAGTACCTTGAGATCTAGGTGAAATCCAGGTGGATCTTGTGATCTAGGTAGATTCTTACCTTGAGATCCAGGTGAATGATGTTCCTCTCGTGCAGGTAGGAAACTCCCTCCAGTATCTGCCGCATCAGTCGGACCACGTCCTTCTCATTAAAGCAGTCGTCTTCCTCCGTAACGCAGTGGTCAAAAATCTCACCGCCCGCAGCACTGGGGGTAAACAATAACAACAAACATGTAAATAACAACAATAACATCTTCCTCCGTCACACAGTGGTCAAAAATCTCACCGCCCGCAGCACTGGGGGTAAACAATAACAACAAACATGTAAATAACAACAATAACATCTTCCTCCGTCACACAGTGGTAAAAAATCTCCCCGCCCGCAGCACTGGGGGTAAACAACAAACATGTAAATAACAACAATGACAACCTCCTGCAGCACTGGGGGTAAACAACAACAAATATATCAATAGCACACACACACAGTATCATGTACACACACACACACACACACACAGTATCATGTACACACACACACACACACACAGTATCATGTACACACACACACACAAACACACACACACACAAACACATGCACACACACAGCAACATGGACAAACACACAGTAACACGGACACACAGACACACACACACACAGAAAGACAGACAAACACACACACAGTTCATACTTACTACTCGAGCACGAGGATCATCTCGTTGTGAGTCTCGAACACCTCGAACAGGTCGATCAGTCGGCAGTGTTCCGCCGACATCTCCAGGATCCGTATTTCGTGCAGAATCGTCTCACGACAGTCTTTCCCCTTCTTCCGCTTCCGGATGAACTTGGCAGCGTATTCCTGCCCCGAGCTCTTCCTCCGACATTTCTTCACTACAGCAAACTTACCCCTGCGGAGACAAACAAACAAACATCATTAATAAATACAAAGATATATATATATAGAAAACAACAACAGCCATAAGTCAGAATGTTGATATGATGATGTAGTGATGACAATGCCAATTACATTTGGAGACAAATTCCAGAGCTGCAAACTGGATGCTGTAATATTATGATTGCCGGTGTGTGTGTGTTTGTGCCTTTAAAGCTTTATTTATACTCGGGTTTTACAGATTTGTTGTACATTTGGGAGGAGGAGGGATCAAACAAATCACAATAGTAATAGTGCGTGTGCGTGCGTGTGTGTGCGTGCGTGTGTGTGTGCGCGCGTGCGTGCGTGCGTGCGTGCGTGTGTGCGCGCGCGTGTGCGCGCGCGTGTGTGTGATTGTTGCCATATTAGTGCGTGCGTGTGTGTAGTTTGTGTGACTTTGAGTGAACACTAAGATACGATGACTGCAGAGATACGTGGGTCCAAGTGTGAGTGTGTGTGTGTGTTTGTGTGTGTTGCCATGTTTGTGTGCAGTTTGTGTGAGTTTGAGTGAACACTAAGTAACGATGACTGCAGAGATCCGTGGGTCCAACTTGACCTGGTGACTTCTGCCCCTCAGTGCTGGAAAAGCGGCTTTTTGCCTGTAGTAAAAGGTATATAAAGGCACGGACATGTGGCGACATGGCAGCACTATGCGGCCTGCAAACACACAGGCCATGTCGGTGTATTTATGTAGTGGTCGTTTCTGGGAAGTGTTTGCAGAGGAGTAACGTGTAGAGCCAGATAAGGCAGTGGGTCGGCAGGGACGACATTGTCACCATTCTCACCAACTGGCCTAATAACAGTCACACACAGCAACACGTACGCACACGCACACACAGCAACACGTACGCACAAACAAAAAAAACAGTCACACACTCAAACACACAGGCAGGACGACATGCCCACCATTCTCACTGGCCAAATAACACACAAACATACTGTAGCAACAAGCACACACACACACACACACACACACACACACACACACACACACACACAC